ATTTATAAATTTGGCAACATGTGTCCGCAATCGTGTCATTTTTGGGTGTCCATCATTAAAGTATAATCGTCCGCAATCGTGTTATCAAAAAGGTAGCCCTGATAAGATCCGTCCGCATTCGTGTATCACCGAATATTACAATATTATTAACTCCTAACTCTATCATAAATCAAATTTTAGTATTTACTAAATAATCATTTTTATCTTGCTACCATTATTTGCGTAAGACAAGGAACAATACAAAACGGATTGGAGTTTCAGGTGAAACATGTTATTATTGTTTTAATCACCACCATCACCATGGTGTTTTGTTAAAATGTCAGTTATTATATTACTGTACTTAAGTAGAAATGTAGGTGGTACGTTATAATAATAATTTTTATTATTATATTTTAGTTACATAATCATTTATAAGAATATTATATAGTATCTGAATAATTGTACAATTCTGATACCTATGCGTTTAGTTACTATAATTTATAGTTAAATTATTTCTATTCGATAAGGACCACGAGATAATTTTCAATACATTATTAATGTAATATCAGATTTATATTAAACAGTAGATAGGTAAAAATAACTTATTACATTAATTGAATTTGCGTTAATTTTCACGCTGTATTTTACTAACCATAACATTCATGTTTATATAGGATTAATTTTACACAAGACATCCCCGGGTAAATATTTAATTAATTTAAATTTATTATTGACGTTGTCGTTAAAAATTCACATGTGTATATATGTTTTTAATTCACTGATAAAATTACAAACATAATACTTACACACATAGAAAATACTAGAACATAAATCATTCAGAAAAATATGGATAATATTGACAATAATTACCACTTTAAAWTTTTTTTATTCATTTACCAAAATAAAAATGAATTAAACTTTGTCTACCGTTTTCACGTATATWCTTATGAATTTCTGCATTGTGTTATTAAAACTTATAATTACTTTATCGTAGAAGTAAGATTTTATGGTGATTGAAATTCTCTGTTGTTATATAATACCTATTTTTCATAAAAAAATACATTGCGTTCTTCGAGAACATAATATAGAAGAGTCATAAACTGGGTTTTAAAAATCGTCTGGGACAGCATAATATTTACAGCGCATTGTTATAGATTTTTTCTGAAACTCATTACAAATGCATTGAATTTGATAATAATGATTAACTAACATAAACTATTTGATGGAGACCTAGATAACTTATGTTATTATTTCTTTCGATTTTTTATTCAATTTTGATTTTATTATTCATTAAAATGGAAATCCTTCAAATACTGGCTTTAGATTWTTGTGATTTTAACAMTATGATMTGATAACTACGAAATTGAACAAGAAAAAAATACAAGTAGATTATATACMTACAAAAATATAGTCAAACTTAGTATTTAAACTTGTATTTAGGTGACCTATTATTCAGCGGCCTGATGTGGTGCCAGCGGACGCATATGGATAAGATACTCGAGCGATGTTTGCAAAAAGTTGTGTAACAGTAACGTCAAACTAKTGTTACATCGTCGAAAGTGCACTGGTGGAAATCTTGACTTTGTAATAAGTTGTTCATTTAAATTGGCATGAAGACACAACTTAAAACGCACACATTTCAAATCTGAAATCTTAGATCTATGAACRAAGTAAAAAAAAATCTCCAGTTTAAAAGAATTCAAATCAAGCAAACATCGCTTTTCAAGGATTTTTTTTTATAGTATTTTCTTGCTAAAAATAAATTGAGGGTTCTGTCACTGGCCAGACTGTCTCCTAATACTAAGTCTTTGAGTAATTCCCCTACATTATTTAATATTTTATTAAYAAGCGCTTGCTACTAATTTTAAACTGAATATTTCAATAATATATACCTAATGCAATTATTTGTTGTTTGAAAATACCATAATTGTTTTAAAATTTTAGCTAAAACATTAAATTGAAATTATTCACATTGTGCATTGTTCTACATAAAAATATTGTTAAGTTAAAAATGTTAAGAAGCGTTTAATTTTGAGACAATGTGATCAACACCGTTTCCTAAAGTACGATCATTAATAATTGGCACACTGTATTCCGCAGTTCCTAATATAGGTATTGGATTCACATTTCATCTTTTTAGTATTACTTTTAATTATTAACAGATAATTCAATGATTTTTTAATTAAAATTGTGTGTATTTCTGGAAAATACTGCATATCTATTATAATATGACGTCTAAATTACCCAATAATAATGCATTAGGTATCTTAAAAATAGATACCTTATGATAACATAAATGTATTTATTTTTTATTTCGTTTTTTATTTGAAAAAAACATAATATTGTCACTTCTATAATA